CCAAGTTGATTAGGTATTGTGGCAACCTATTTGTTCTTAGTTTTTTAAGGAGTATCGCCCACGATGCCGAATTAAAAGCGTTTTTCACGTCAATAGTGATTAGCATACACCATCTTTCGCCTTTTCCTCGGAATTTTACTCCCTCTGCCAGGATCATCACCGCGTTTATTGCGTCTAGGGTGGACATGCCTTTTTTAAATCCATACTGATTTGCCGATATTTGTCCATTTCTTGCCAGTTCTTTTTCCAGTCTGTCCTTTATAAGGTGTTCGTACAGTTTAGCGATTGAGTTTACCAGGCACAAGGGTCTATACGAATTTGCGAGCTCAAAAGGTTTACCACTTTTGTGGGTCAATACCACCTTTGTTAGTTTCCATGAAGTGGGGAATTCCTGTCTTATCAATAAGTTATTATAAAGATCCCGCAGTATTGTCGGCTCGCCTTTTGCCAGTATCTTGATTACCTCCGGTGGAATACCGTCTGGGCCCGGCGCTTTCCTCACTTTTAACTTGGCTGCTGCTGTGGCTATTTCTTGCGTGCTGAAGAGCGGTATCTCGCTTGTGTATATGGGGGTCAGCAGAATCTCGCTCCTGTCAGGAAAAAGTGTTTCCACTATCTGCTTCAACCCAGAGTCGGGAAGTGTAAATGGAGGACCAGCCTCTGTGAAGTTTTTCTTTATTATCTTATACCCTTCTCCCCAGATGTTATCGTTTAGCTCTTCCAGTAGTAGTCGCCACCTTTTCTTCTTTTCTTTGGAGATCATTTTCCTCAGTCCGTTCCTCACCTCTTTGTATACTTGCCACATTTCTGTGAGTAAGCCATTTACCTCCCTTGTGCTCCTATGTCTTGCTGCCCTGGTGTAGACTCTCCTTTTCGCTATGCACTCCTTTCTTTTGTTTGCAATATCCTCGTTCCACCAGTACGGTACCGTTGACATTGCTGCGCCCCCTTTCTTAGATTTTTTAACTGCTTCTTTGAGCATTTCCTCCAGTAAGAGCGGATCCAGCGGCATCGTTTTGCATGTGATAGTGAGTTTTTCTCTTAAGTTAGTGAGTAGTCTATCCTGGTCCAGATACAGTTTACGTCGCATTTCCATCTTTTTTGGGGTATTGTCTTTCACTTCGAAAAATATGTACTTATGTGGGGAAAGGGACTCGTTTTCGAGGACCTCCCAGTTACTAACCCTAGCTGCAAGATTTCGTGTGGAAAAGGTAATATCTATATAGGATTTCTGCTGCCTTCTTTCGAATGTTGGTATGCCTCCCTTGTTGTGAGCTACCAGTCCAACTCTGGCACACGCTTCCGACAGTACCTGTCCCCTCCTGTCCATAATCGGGGATCCCCATTCCGGAGACTTCGCGTTGAAGTCCCCAAGAACAATACACTCTCTGTTACTGGCAGCAATCAGGTCAGCAAGATTATCAACATACCGCTCGTACTCTTGTAAACCTATATTAGGTGACACATAGCAGCCATATATATTGAATTTATCTGCTTCCACCATCACTATTCCGTCCTCTCTTTTGGTTCTACTAACTTTGACATCTTTATTCATGAAGTATACCGCCACATCCAATCTCTTGTCAACCGTCCATCTCTTGTTTTTCACAATTCTTTTATTTGGTTCACTTGCAACTATAATATCTACGTTCTTCTCGTTCGCTGTTAAGAACGCCAAATCATGGGACCCTTCAGACCTGTCAGAGTTTATTTGTAGAAACTTCACTATGTTTACTGTAGGTTAGGTCCTCCGTCCCTGTATTCCCACGCATTACGCCTTCTTTTGGACGACAGTGCCCTGCGGAAGACTTTACAGCTACCCGCACCGGCCCTGTGTCCTTTCTCCTGACATAGAGGGCACGCCTCTTCTAGGCTACAGTTTTGGCTGTTGTGACCCGTTGTCCCACATTTATAGCAAAGTTCCCTCCTATCAGGTCCCGTGCACTCATATGCGCGATGCTCGTATGACCAACATTTGAAACACCTCTCTATATTTAAACGTGGTTCTAGTCTGCACCTTACAAGCCCTATTCGCAGTTCCTTATGTTTGCTGAGCAGCTCCTCCGCCTCTTTGTCCTGTATCATTAGCGTGACCGCCTGTGTATCTCCAGCCCCTGGTCTAAGTTTAGATAGTCGGAGATCGCTTGTATTAAGATTCCCGACTTTGGACTCGATGGCTTCAACAACCTCTTCCTCCGTTGCAGTGGCATCCAATCCTCTTATATGTATCGCTGTAAGTGATGATCTCTCCATTCCAATAATATTTGTCTTTATGCTGGTTGATAACTCTTGTATCTGCTTTTGAGCTTCTGACAACGCCACCTCGTCCTTTTCCATTACTATTAGCAGTTTGCCGTCTTTTGTCTTCCTTATGTGTTTTATTTTTTCACTTGCCTGTGTATTTATTAATTTGGCCTTGATTTCTCTCAACGTTTCTTTATAGTCCTTGTGTTTGTGTTGCACCATCAATGCGTACGTTGGTCGTTCTTTTCTATTATTTGTTGGCTTGTTTTCCTGAGTTTCTTCTACTCTGCCTTTAGCTTGATACACTTTCGTGGTGTATATTACCACGTTAGTTAACGTCCTCCTGAATATCGCTTCGGTCATCTTTCTCATTTTATCAAGGTGTAGATTATTTAGATGATGAAGGGCAACCCATTCGTCGTGCTCTGTCTCCTTCCGTAGCTTCATCAGTACGTCCCAGAATTTTTCTTGTTCTGCCTCTATTTGTATCTTGATGATCTTTTGTCCAGTAGTTGGCTCCTCCCTATCCGATTTAATCCTGGTTGTCTGTTCCATCACTACAAATTCACCTTCAACGTTGGCTAATTCTTGGTAGCGACTTTTGTATTGCGACTGTATACTTCTCTCCAACTTAGGGTCGGAAGGTTCGACGAAGACTACTTTGACCGTTGACGCTTTAGTATATAACGGATTTCCGACCTTTATTTCAGTGTGTTCAAAAACTTCTTTTGGCCAGTTGTGCCCTTCAATTTCCTTGTATTCGTTATAATTTCTTATCGAGTCGAGTTTAGAGGCCGTTATGTATTCAGGCTCTTGCCCTGTCTGGGTCCCTATGGTTTGGGTATGTGGGTTGATTCCATTTCTACGAACACTTGTCCCATCCGGGATTTGGATCAGGGCTTCCGTGTCAGTTTGCACCTCCTGCTCTCTTGACTCAGACTGCACGGTTTGTATATCGGCATCAAAAGTCATACAGTCTACGGGTTTATATTTTCTATCTTGGATCCATTCCCACAAGGTCCTTCTGCTGAGGATATCCCTCTGCTTTCCTAATTTCGACGTAGTCTCTTTTATTTCCCTTTTTGTGTTCGGGTTCTGCTCCACCGCTCTGGTCAGATTTCTAACCAAGCGGTCCACCTCCTTCAGGGCTGCTGTAAGTTCGAAGGCAATCGGGCATGGAGTCCTTTTTGTGGTGTCTTCTTGCATGTATCTCCTGTGTTCTTCTTCACTCTTTCTTTTCCGTCCATCCGTTTCATTCTCGTTGGAAATAGCTCTGCGAATTCCTGGTCTTAATAGTCCTTGTAACAGTCTATCTTCCTCCTTAGATAATTCTAGCGAGGTCATAGAACTCCTTCTCTCTTGCGGTCTGTGTGATTGGCCCCCCCCAGAATCCATGGGGCCGGCGCCGACCACCGGGGCTTTCACCCGATCGGAATCAGCGGTGAGATTTACACTCACCTGGGGTACTAGTTGTTTTGTTTTGTCACACATCATGTATTATGTTTTGTTCCGGGTCCATGGCCAGTTCGTCGTCGTAATCCTATCGGCTAGGGAATGGGGTAATATATTTAGGGGACACTCCTAGTATTCGGATATCCTAATAGCGTTGGAGCGGGATCATTAGAAGGGATGTGGGGGTATTGGGGGGAAACTCCTTCTCTGGGTCCAGAAAGAGCCCAGCTAGGGTGCCTCGGGGTTGCCACACCCGTACTCACAGTGTGAGCCCCTGAGGGGAAAACTAACCAAAACTAACCAAAACTAACCAAAACTAACCAAAACTAACCAAAACTAACCAAAACTAACCAAAACTAACCAAAACTAACCAAAACTAACCAAAACTAACCAAAACTAACCAAAACTAACCAAAACTAACCAAAACTAACCAAAACTAACCAAAACTAACCAAAACTAACCAAAACTAACCAAAACTAACCAAAACTAACCAAAACTAACCAAAACTAACCAAAACTAACCAAAACTAACCAAAACTAACCAAAACTAACCAAAACTAACCAAAACTAACCAAAACTAACCAAAACTAACCAAAACTAACCAAAACTAACCAAAACTAACCAAAACTAACCAAAACTAACCAAAACTAACCAAAACTAACCAAAACTAACCAAAACTAACCAAAACTAACCAAAACTAACCAAAACTAACCAAAACTAACCAAAACTAACCAAAACTAACCAAAACTAACCAAAACTAACCAAAACTAACCAAAACTAACCAAAACTAACCAAAACTAACCAAAACTAACCAAAACTAACCAAAACTAACCAAAACTAACCAAAACTAACCAAAACTAACCAAAACTAACCAAAACTAACCAAAACTAACCAAAACTAACCAAAACTAACCAAAACTAACCAAAACTAACCAAAACTAACCAAAACTAACCAAAACTAACCAAAACTAACCAAAACTAACCAAAACTAACCAAAACTAACCAAAACTAACCAAAACTAACCAAAACTAACCAAAACTAACCAAAACTAACCAAAACTAACCAAAACTTTTTTTTTTTTTTTTTTTTTTTTTTTTTTTTTTTTTTTTTTTTTTCCTCGAGGGGATTAGGAAATCTGCAAACAGACACCTCGCCTGTTGTTCTGGCGGTCGAGGTAGTGTCGGGGTGGTGTCCTTGTCAATAGATCACCGACCGACTAAAACCCTTCCCCCTCGTTTTCATACCCCAGGTTAGTGGGATCGTCCTAGCGGACATGCTTCACTAGCCCGGTTGTCACCCCTATGTTTTATCCGTCTCCTCCCGCAAGTTCTACACTCTTCGACTTCTTGATATCAATAATGCATTCCTGTATTGCTCCCCACTTTTCGGCCGTGTCCAGCATGCCTTCCACCACGCTCGCCGGCGTCAGAGCTTCTGTCTCTCTCCCGAGGGTTTCGCATATCCGCAGTCTCTGCGAGGTCCAGCGTGGGCAGCTGATCAGCGTGTGCTCTGCACTGTCCTCTCTATCACAGTATAAACATTTAGTGTCGGTTTTGCCTAGTCGATTAGTGTAGACCTTGAAATGGCCATGTCCGGTAAGTACTTGTGTAAGATGGTAGTCCAACTGCCGGTGCCTGCACCTCCTCCATTTGTCTATGCTTGGGATCAGTGCTCTGGTCCATCTCCCCACGGTGGATGCTTCCCATCTGCTTTGCCATTCTTGGTTCGTCCGCTCCTTCGCCCTTTGCTTTGCACCTGGGCCTCTGCCTTCTTGGGCAGCGTATCTCCTCTCCTCCACTATTAAATCCACAGGGGGGAAACCCGTTATAACCTGGACTGCTGCGCTGGAGACCGTTCTGTAGCCGCACGCCACCCTCAGGAGTGCTTTTCTTTGAACGCTTTCCAGTATTTTACGGTAGGTCTTTATCCTCATTACAGGGCTCCATATAGGTGCGGCATACATAATTGTGGACTGCACTACTCCATACAATATCCCCCTCTTTTCCGTATTTGGACCTTTGTAGTTTGGCATTAGTCTTGCGACTGACGCTAACTTCTTGGTTGCCTTTTGCGAGACCACTCTAACATGCTCCCCGAAAGAGATGTTTTCACCAATCAGGACGCCTAAATATTTTATAGCCTTAGCTGGCTTGATTACCTGGTCATTTACATTAATCTGGATATCCTGTCGGTTCCTGCGTCCACTCAGAATGACCGCCTCCGTCTTTTCCACAGCTAGTTCCAGAGTATTTGCCTGCAGCCACTTTACGACCTCCTGGAGCGCATGGTTTGCATTTAGAGTCAGTTCTTGTTTGTTTTGACCTTGTACTACTATGGCTACATCGTCAGCATAGCCTACGACGCTGGCCCCTGGGCCAAACTCCAATCTCAGTATATCGTCATAATATACATTCCATAGTAACGGGCCCAATACAGATCCTTGGGGGATTCCTGCGGATACTTTTTTCTTCTGTTTTCCAAACAGTATGACTCTATCGTCTAAGTAGTCTCTAACCAAGTTGATTAGGTATTGTGGCAACCTATTTGTTCTTAGTTTTTTAAGGAGTATCGCCCACGATGCCGAATTAAAAGCGTTTTTCACGTCAATAGTGATTAGCATACACCATCTTTCGCCTTTTCCTCGGAATTTTACTCCCTCTGCCAGGATCATCACCGCGTTTATTGCGTCTAGGGTGGACATGCCTTTTTTAAATCCATATTGATTTGCCGATATTTGTCCATTTTTTGCCAGTTCTTTTTCCAGTCTGTCCTTTATAAGGTGTTCGTACAGTTTAGCGATTGAGTTTACCAGGCACAAGGGTCTATACGAATTTGCGAGCTCAAAAGGTTTACCACTTTTGTGGATCAATACCACCTTTGTTAGTTTCCATGAAGTGGGGAATTCCTGTCTTATCAATAAGTTATTATAAAGATCCCGCAGTATTGTCGGCTCGCCTTTTGCCAGTATCTTGATTACCTCCGGTGGAATACCGTCTGGGCCCGGCGCTTTCCTCACTTTTAACTTGGCTGCTGCTGTGGCTATTTCTTGCGTGCTGAAGAGCGGTATCTCGCTTGTGTATATGGGGGTCAGCAGAATCTCGCTCCTGTCAGGAAAAAGTGTTTCCACTATCTGCTTCAACCCAGAGTCGGGAAGTGTAAATGGAGGACCAGCCTCTGTGAAGTTTTTCTTTATTATCTTATACCCTTCTCCCCAGATGTTATCGTTTAGCTCTTCCAGTAGTAGTCGCCACCTTTTCTTCTTTTCTTTGGAGATCATTTTCCTCAGTCCGTTCCTCACCTCTTTGTATACTTGCCACATTTCTGTGAGTAAGCCATTTACCTCCCTTGTGCTCCTATGTCTTGCTGCCCTGGTGTAGACTCTCCTTTTCGCTATGCACTCCTTTCTTTTGTTTGCAATATCCTCGTTCCACCAGTACGGTACCGTTGACATTGCTGCGCCCCCTTTCTTAGATTTTTTAACTGCTTCTTTGAGCATTTCCTCCAGTGAGAGCGGATCCAGCGGCATCGTTTTGCATGTGATAGTGAGTTTTTCTCTTAAGTTAGTGAGTAGTCTATCCTGGTCCAGATACAGTTTACGTCGCATTTCCATCTTTTTTGGGGTATTGTCTTTCACTTCGAAAAATATGTACTTATGTGGGGAAAGGGACTCGTTTTCGAGGACCTCCCAGTTACTAACCCTAGCTGCAAGATTTCGTGTGGAAAAGGTAATATCTATATAGGATTTCTGCTGCCTTCTTTCGAATGTTGGTATGCCTCCCTTGTTGTGAGCTACCAGTCCAACTCTGGCACACGCTTCCGACAGTACCTGTCCCCTCCTGTCCCCTCCTGTCCATAATCGGGGATCCCCATTCCGGAGACTTCGCGTTGAAGTCCCCAAGAACAATACACTCTCTGTTACTGGCAGCAATCAGGTCAGCAAGATTATCAACATACCGCTCGTACTCTTGTAAACCTATATTAGGTGACACATAGCAGCCATATATATTGAATTTATCTGCTTCCACCATCACTATTCCGTCCTCTCTTTTGGTTCTACTAACTTTGACATCTTTATTCATGAAGTATACCGCCACATCCAATCTCTTGTCAACCGTCCATCTCTTGTTTTTCACAATTCTTTTATTTGGTTCACTTGCAACTATAATATCTACGTTCTTCTCGTTCGCTGTTAAGAACGCCAAATCATGGGACCCTTCAGACCTGTCAGAGTTTATTTGTAGAAACTTCACTATGTTTACTGTAGGTTAGGTCCTCCGTCCCTGTATTCCCACGCATTACGCCTTCTTTTGGACGACAGTGCCCTGCGGAAGACTTTACAGCTACCCGTACCGGCCCTGTGTCCTTTCTCCTGACATAGAGGGCACGCCTCTTCTAGGCTACAGCTTTGGCTGTTGTGACCCGTTGTCCCACATTTATAGCAAAGTTCCCTCCTATCAGGTCCCGTGCACTCATATGCGCGATGCTCGTATGACCAACACTTGAAACACCTCTCTATATTTAAACGTGGTTCTAGTCTGCACCTTACAAGCCCTATTCGCAGTTCCTTATGTTTGCTGAGTAGCTCCTCCGCCTCTTTGTCCTGTATCATTAGCGTGACCGCCTGTGTATCTCCAGCCCCTGGTCTAAGTTTAGATAGTCGGAGATCGCTTGTTTTAAGATTCCCGACTTTGGACTCGATGGCTTCAACAACCTCTTCCTCCGTTGCAGTGGCATCCAATCCTCTTATATGTATCGCTGTAAGTGATGATCTCTCCATTCCAATAATATTTGTCTTTATGCTGGTTGATAACTCTTGTATCTGCTTTTGAGCTTCTGACAACGCCACCTCGTCCTTTTCCATTACTATTAGCAGTTTGCCGTCTTTTGTCTTCCTTATGTGTTTTATTTTTTCACTTGCCTGTGTATTTATTAATTTGGCCTTGATTTCTCTCAACGTTTCTTTATAGTCCTTGTGTTTGTGTTGCACCATCAATGCGTACGTTGGTCGTTCTTTTCTATTATTTGTTGGCTTGTTTTCCTGAGTTTCTTCTACTCTGCCTTTAGCTTGATACACTTTCGTGGTGTATATTACCACGTTAGTTAACGTCCTCCTGAATATCGCTTCGGTCATCTTTCTCATTTTATCAAGGTGTAGATTATTTAGATGATGAAGGGCAACCCATTCGTCGTGCTCTGTCTCCTTCCGTAGCTTCATCAGTACGTCCCAGAATTTTTCTTGTTCTGCCTCTATTTGTATCTTGATGATCTTTTGTCCAGTAGTTGGCTCCTCCCTATCCGATTTAATCCTGGTTGTCTGTTCCATCACTACAAATTCACCTTCAACGTTGGCTAATTCTTGGTAGCGACTTTTGTATTGTGACTGTATACTTCTCTCCAACTTAGGGTCGGAAGGTTCGACGAAGACTACTTTGACCGTTGACGCTTTAGTATATAACGGATTTCCGACCTTTATTTCAGTGTGTTCAAAAACTTCTTTTGGCCAGTTGTGCCCTTCAATTTCCTTGTATTCGTTATAATTTCTTATCGAGTCGAGTTTAGAGGCCGTTATGTATTCAGGCTCTTGCCCTGTCTGGGTCCCTATGGTTTGGGTATGTGGGTTGATTCCATTTCTACGAACACTTGTCCCATCCGGGATTTGGATCAGGGCTTCCGTGTCAGTTTGCACCTCCTGCTCTCTTGACTCAGACTGCACGGTTTGTATATCGGCATCAAAAGTCATACAGTCTACGGGTTTATATTTTCTATCTTGGATCCATTCCCACAAGGTCCTTCTGCTGAGGATATCCCTCTGCTTTCCTAATTTCGACGTAGTCTCTTTTATTTCCCTTTTTGTGTTCGGGTTCTGCTCCACCGCTCTGGTCAGATTTCTAACCAAGCGGTCCACCTCCTTCAGGGCTGCTGTAAGTTCGAAGGCAATCGGGCATGGAGTCCTTTTTGTGGTGTCTTCTTGCATGTATCTCCTGTGTTCTTCTTCACTCTTTCTTTTCCGTCCATCCGTTTCATTCTCGTTGGAAATAGCTCTGCGAATTCCTGGTCTTAATAGTCCTTGTAACAGTCTATCTTCCTCCTTAGATAATTCTAGCGAGGTCATAGAACTCCTTCTCTCTTGCGGTCTGTGTGATTGGCCCCCCCCAGAATCCATGGGGCCGGCGCCGACCACCGGGGCTTTCACCCGATCGGAATCAGCGGTGAGATTTACACTCACCTGGGGTACTAGTTGTTTTGTTTTGTCACACATCATGTATTATGTTTTGTTCCGGGTCCATGGCCAGTTCGTCGTCGTAATCCTATCGGCTGGGGAATGGGGTAATATATTTAGGGGACACTCCTAGTATTCGGATATCCTAATAGCGTTGGAGCGGGATCATTAGAAGGGATGTGGGGGTATTGGGGGGAAACTCCTTCTCTGGGTCCAGAAAGAGCCCAGCTAGGGTGCCTCGGGGTTGCCACACCCGTACTCACAGTGTGAGCCCCTGAGGGGAAAAACTAACCAAAACTAACCAAAACTAACCAAAACTAACCAAAACTAACCAAAACTAACCAAAACTAACCAAAACTAACCAAAACTAACCAAAACTAACCAAAACTAACCAAAACTAACCAAAACTAACCAAAACTAACCAAAACTAACCAAAACTAACCAAAACTAACCAAAACTAACCAAAACTAACCAAAACTAACCAAAACTAACCAAAAC